AAGCCTCCTGCAGGTGTGTGTGCCCATCGGGGCACGTGATGTCTGCCTCCCTGAGCCGTTGGGGGCCACCCCGACCCACCAACTCGTGCAGGCTTGCGACTGTCTGTGTTTGTGAGCGGGACACCTGCCCTCCTCGCCGTCAGGCAACTCCAAGGGGCCGGCACTCAGGACCATGGGAAGAACACGATTCTTCCTGGTACTTGCCTGTGTGCACACAAGTGAGTCTGTCCCCTGGCTCAGTCCAGCTGTGACCATGGAGGGTCGGCTTTAGAATCTTACGACCTCATGATTTAAGCACATTTGGTGGGTTCCAGTCGCTTCTGTTGTGGTTCTGACTGAAGCGCAGAGGGCCCTGTCCAGCCAGTGGGAACCTCTCTGACCTGCCTCGGGGCGTGGCAGGATGCGCCGGCCCCTCTCTGCGGTTCCTGCCGCAGGCCTGGGTTGGCCATTTCCCAGAGAGCCCTGGTCAGCAAAGCCCTTTCCAGGGTCAGGCAGCCCCCGGGACAGAGTGGCCCTGGAAACCCCCGGTGAGCATATGTGACGGTCTCACGGTGGGTGCGTTTGCACACGTCGAGTGCAGCACAGGACAATGGGAGGCCGGACCCTGGAGCCCTGATGAGTCGCCTGTGACTGCTCTTGTCTGAGCTGGTCACCTCAAGACAGCTGGAAACGCTTCCCAGGAGCCTCTCGGGGCCGAACTGGACCCTGATCCGGGCACCACAGATGGTGCAGAGCTGGTCGCCTGAATTGCAGCTCAGAGCGGGGCCGGCCTGCCGGAGCCCCATGTCCCACCCTCCCCAAAAGTCGACCTTTTTAACTTGGGGAAACTTTTACTTACCAAGCGTGAAATAAAGCCTGTTTGGCTTGACTGCGTTTGCTCGGGAAATCTGATCTCATAGGGATGTTTCAGTTGTGCCGTCTTCTGCTTCCCGGGGGTGGCCAGGCCACGTGGCGCCTGCAGGGAGGCAGGGGCCTTGCACACTTGCGTCCCCGCAGCTCTGCAGGGAGCAGCGACGCTCTGGCCTCCTCGGCTTGATTGCTCCTGCTCCTGCCGTGTCCAGGGTGATCCTCTGGCTCCCGGCGGGCCAACCTCACCCTCTTTTACCCCGCCCGCTCCTTCCCCCTCTGGCTTGGCCAAGGCCGCAGGGCAGGACTGCTCAGGGCTCCCAGGACAAGGCCTCCACCTCCTGGTGCCCTCGCTGCCCCATGACCTTGCCCCTGCAGCCCCTCTGCCGGGAATGCCCCAGGGCCTCAGGTGCCCTTGTTTCCTGAGAGGGGCTTTCCCTGACAGCGTGACCCCACCCAGTACCTCTAGGGAAATCTCAGGGGTGGAGCAGTCAGACACTGGCCGCTTCTCACGTCGCCCCGCCATCGCTGCTCCGGCGGTTGCTTCTGCGTCGGTCACTGTCAGCTGTGGTTTGTGGTGCGTTGTCCTCCTGGATCAGAAGCTTCTGCAGAGTTCTCCGCCCTGCGCACATTTGTCACACGCCCAGCATCCCGCTCTGCAGCCCTTTCCAGCAGCCTGTGTCATGAGGTATTTGGGGTTCAAAGGTGGTGCAGGTCGGGTTGGGGACTGTGTCCCCCAGGCCTAGTGGTCTGAGCCCGGCTCCTGCCCCCTCTGGGGGTCTCACTGGCCCCTCCTGCTTGTGGTGCTGCCCCTAGAGCCGCTGGGGGGTGGTGCGCCTGTGGGGACATGGCACCAAGCAAGGCTGAGTTGGCTGAGTGTGTGGAGAGATGACACCACTCTGAAGAGACTCTAGTGGGAGCGGGAGGGTCCAGCTGGTGCCGTCCTCCAGAGAAAGGCAGAGGGCACCCAAGGTGCCACACGTGTGGGTACAGCAGCGTCCCTGCCCAATGCGGGCGCCCACTGGAGAGAGAACATGAGGAGCCTGGCCTGAGCATGGTGCCGTCGTGACAACTGTCCTCCAAATGACCACAACAAATACTGAGCAGCCCAGGGACCAGAGTCGGCGGGGCGGCCATAGCAGCTGCTGGATGCCAGGCCCAGGGCAGAGAAGGCCAGCTCTCTGTGTCCACAGCCCTGCCACAAACCACAGGAACTCACGGAGCCCAATGTCCCTGTGATCCTCACCTGCACCTGCTTGTCGTCCTGGCAGAATTGCCATAGAGGCGGCTCTGAACCACCTGAGTATGGGCAGTGGGCACTGGCCCCGTGACACAGCGGCTGCCTCGCTGCCCCTCCCCGCAGTGTCCCTTCCCCTCACCCTCATAAGGGGCCACGTCCACTGCCCCGGCTACAGGTGACAAGCCACAGCGAAGGCCACCAGTAAAGCGAGGCACGCACTCTGAGTTTAGACGTGTCAGGGAGGCACTACCACACCTCGGGACCTGGTCACCCCAGCAGCCATCCTTATGGCACACCTGGAGGCTTGGACGCTTCCAGGTGGGAGCCCATGAGGATGAGGATGTCCCTGTCATCTCCACACCTCAGGCACGGCAGAGACCGTGGTCACAGTGTTCATCACCAATGCAAGCAAAGTGACCAGACCTCGAGGAAACTCCCAAGTCAGAGACGCTTGTCCAGGGAGAGGATCTGCTGGCGGACACAATTTCATGACTGAATGCAACCTGCACTCACGGAAGAGAGGGCTCCCATCACCGAGTTCTGCTAGCTGCACCCTGCAGGGGCCTTCCTGGGGTCCCCAGACACCGCCCACACACCTGCAGAGTGTGCGTGGCAGGGGCAGTGTCACACGGTGTGCAGGTGATGCGTTTGGGGGTCTGGAATCCAAGAGGCTTCGGTGAAAACTGAGAGAGAAGCTTAAGAGGTAGCCGAAAACAAGATGCTTCCCAAAATGTAAACACTTTCCTTTGTGTTGGGAATTACCAGTTAGAAATGAAATTAAAATGTTCCGTTTAAGGCCGGCCCGTGGCTCACTTGGTAGAGTGCGATGCTGATAACACCAAGGCCACGGGTTTGGATCCTATATAGGGATGGCTGGTTTGCTCACTGGCTGAGTGTGGTGCTGACAATACCAAGCCAAGGGTTGAGATCCCCTTACCGGTCATCTTTAAAAAAAAAAAAAAAATGTTCCGTTTATAATAGCAACAAAAACTGTAGAAAGCCTGGAAGCACGTACAGCAGGAAGGATCGAGACTCTTCCAAGAACAGGAGAACGAGCCACGAGCAACTAACCCCGCGTTGCAAACTCAAAACATCGCGCTGTGCCTCATAAATACACACGATTGTTAGTTGTCAACTAAAAAAGAAATTTAAAAAAAGACAGACACTGTCTGCATGTAAAGATTTTATTCTGTAAAAAGTTGGTCCTTCCCAAATTCATATAAAAAGCCACTGCAGTTACAATAAAATCCCAGCCCTTTCTGGTTTGCTTTTGAATGGGGGTGGGGGAGCTTGCCTTTGTTTTTTAAAATCTAACAAATGTGAAAGTAGACAAACTGTTTTTGAAAAAGAAAACAAATGTCCCCCTGATGTCAGAACGCTCTCTGGGCTGCTGTCATTAAAACCACACAGTCCTGGGCCGGCCCCGGGGCTCACGCGGGAGAGCGCGGCGCTGGGTTTGGATCCTATATATGGACGGCCGGTGCGCTCACTGGCACCGTGCCGAGGGTTAAGACCCCCTTACCGGTCAGGAAAAAAAAAAAAAAAACGCACAGTCCTGACGGGGCGGGGGGCACGCGTGGACATGCATGGACACGCCCAGGGCCCCGGAGCTGAGGACAGACGGGTGGCAACCAGTGGACAAACTCACGTTCCTTTCAAATGATCTAGGTATTTTTAAATTATAAAAATATTACCAGAAACAGAGGAAAGCCATTTTATCATCTTGGGTTGGAGAAGGTCCTCCTAAGAAGCTGCTAAAGAAAAAAAATCCGATTTCACCAGTTAAAAAGTGGAGGTTTCGAATGTGAGAAGACACGTAAACAAAGCTAAACGGTGCATGACAGCCGTGAGCATGCGTGTGGCGCCAGGCCAAGGGTCAGGCCCCACGGTACAAAGCGTGTGCCCAAAACCACCACGATTGGGTAGGAGGCCAGCGCTGCCCAGGGGGCACTGAGAGGAAAAATTAAAACCACAACGGATACAGCATGTGCTTGGTCTCAGTCATGGTGACAGGGGGCAAAGCAGCAGCAGGTGGGAGCAGGGTGGGGGCGTGGGCACTTAAACCAGTTGGTCACTTAGGCAGGAAGTTTGTCAGCAGCTGTGAATTGTGAACGGACGTGGCCTGGGACCCTGCAGTCCCACTTTCCAGGACTGAGCTTCACAAACTTGGTGTGGAGCACAAAGACGTCCACACGGGGGCGCTCACCAGAGCGTCGACTGTGACAGGAGAACGTCCAGTGGCCTCAGTATAAGGGGAGGGACCTCCACTGCCTGAGCACCTATGTGTCACGGGGTCCCCAAGGGCATGGAGCCCAGCCCTATCCTCCATGAACCTTTAGGACGCATAGAGGCGTGGTTGGGTGGCAGGCTTCCCCTGGTGAGACGGAGACCCCAGGGACTGACAGCCGTCCTGGCCCCCAGCCCAAGGTGTGAGTTTTTGAAGAATACATCTAAAAAGGAAAGCCCCCACCCTTCAGAGACGTGCAGCCATCAGGGAAGGGGGTCCTGGCCTCTGTGCCCTGGGAGAGTGGGGGCTGGGAGATGGGAAGCCCGGGAGGGGACTGTGGGTGCAGCTGAGCCAGCGCAGACCCTAGACCCGAGCGCGGGAGGGCAGCCTGGGTGCCCAGTGCTGCTGCTGCACCTCCTCAGGAGAATCCCCGTGGAGGGAGCTGCTGTCCTGGCCTCGCATGTGTGGGCCCCGAGACGCTCACTCCCGGTTCAGGGGAGCAGCGGCCGTGCGCAGAGATGGCACAAGGCGCTGATGGCCCGTGGTGCCCGTCAGGAGAATCCCCGTGGAGGGAGCTGCTGTCCTGGCCTCGCATGTGTGGGCCCCGAGACGCGCACTCCCGGTTCAGGGGAGCAGCGGCCGTGCGCAGAGATGGCACAAGGCGCTGATGGCCCGTGGTGCCCACAGGCTCACATCTACTCCCTGGGGGCCACCCTGAAGGCTGCCCTGGAGTACGTGGTGGAGCCGGAGCTGGAGCCCAGGCTGAGCCAGGACCTGGAGGTGCTGCTGGGCCAGATGCAGGCGGAGGACCCCCAGGACCGGCCTGACCTTGAGGTGAGCTCCCCCCAACCCTCCACGTGCCCAGCACCACATGAACACCCAACGCGTGCGGGCCAGCAGCCTCACTCGGGCTCCTCGACCAGAACTGAATCGCGCTGCCTTTGTTTAAATAAGGACTTGATTTTTTTATTGTACGTTTGTGTTGTGGGAGATTCTGTCTTATAATTATCATGGGCTGAACGGAATTGCCTGGTTTTCTGTAAGCCCAGAAAATGACACAGCAGGTGGGCAGGCTCCGGGGATATCGGCCACCACCTTCAGAAGGACACGGTGTGGTGTAAGGCCGCAGGTCCCAGGGGCGGGGCTTCCTCCTGGGTGGCCTCCTGCCTGAGACATGCACTCGTGCCCGCAGAGCATCATGGCGCTGTGTGAAGAGAAGATGCAGCTCACGTCCTCCTGCCGCCTGTGCCGGAGTCTCTCGGCCGTGGGGAGGCGGGTGCTCTCCATCGAGTCCTTTGGAGCATTTCAGGGTAGGCACGTACGCCCACATGTGCATCTGTGCACATATTCACACATGTACACATGCGTACGCGTGTAGTGTGTATATACACACGTGTATGCATGTGCACACGTGTCTTCACACGCATATCCACATGCACAACAGATATGCTTATATACATCCTGTGCACACACAATAACACGGATCACATGCTCACTCATAAATGACCCTATAGACACCCACGCTCACACACGCACGTGTATTCAAACAGAGCAGTGTGCCCCCCTGTACTCACATACCCACACTCACTTGCTCACAGTCACACACACGTACAAACATGCACACATTTACAAGATGCACACACTTGCACTCCACACTAAGGCACACACTCAGGACACTGGTGCAAGCTCTGCGACACCCACACAACTGGAGGTCGAGGAAGCTGGTCATCTCTGTCCCAGTTTCATGAGCATGTTGGTAAATGGATGTGGGATCTTTCACAATTAACTTCCGTTTGCCAGCACCACAAAGCATCTGGCGGGTCCGCATGCGTCACAGGGCAAAGCCACTGATGTCACTTTGGTGGTGTTCACAGCTCTCATTAGATCCTGGAGTGGTCTCTGATCCCTTTGAGCAGATGCTGCGTCTGCACTGGGTTGTTGCCTGTAGCTCGGAGCCTCGGGGGGCCTCAGGAAAGGGGAGCCCAGTCACAGGAGTCTCGCGGTGGCCTCAAGGCCCTCCCGCGCAGCCAGCCATGCTCCGAGCAGAGTCAGTGTTTGTGATGCTGCCCCAGGCAACTGTGCTAACACAGCAGACAGCAGAGCCCCCACAGTGCCGCGGGGAATGGCACAAGTCACTCAGGGGGCACGCACGTGTCTACGGCCACTCACGCTGAGACGTGCATGGAGACTGTCCCCAGGACACCGTGGCTAGAGTCAGGCTCTCCCTCTGGGGAGTATCACTCAAGTGATGGCAATGGAAAAACCATGAGCTTCTGGGTGAGATAATTAGCTGGGCCCAGAGCTGCAAGAGGGAGGCCCAGGAGCCTTCTGGGGCCTCTTTAATTAGCAGGATTAGGTGGTTAATGAGGCAGGTGAGGAAGTTTCTGGGGCCTGCACTGAGGGAAGGGGTGGGGGCCTGGGAGCGCAGGACAGGAGCCCCCATCCTGCGAGACCCTGTGCTGGGGGTCTGTGATGATGGGCGGAGGAGGGGGTCCTGCAGGAGCCTGGGGCAGAGGTGGCCAAGGCGGGGGTCCCTGGCAGGGGCCTCCATGGTAACCATGTCTTGCTTTGTGTCCAGATGTCAGTGAGACCACCTGGAGGGGGAGGCCTGTCCCCAGAAGCACAGGGCCCAGGAGGCTGCCTGGGGACCTTGGGGCTGACTCAGGGGCCCTGCCTGCCCCAGAGCACCTGCCCCTGATCTCTGCCCCCAAAGGCCCAGACCGGGAGACCGGCCGGGGCCCCAGACCCCCGCCTCCCAAGCCTCTGCTATCGGCCCCTGTGAAAAACGGTGAAAGCCACGGCCAGGAGGGGCTGGCTAGCCTCATCCTGGACACCAGATGCCCCCTGGGTGAGCTGGACAGAGGCTTCCTCAAGAGGAGCCGTCTGAGGAAGGTACAGTCCTTCCCCAGGCTGCCACCCACCGGCCCCGAGGCCAGCGCCTTCTGCCTGCAGCTGACCTCCACAAGCCAGCTGCCCATACCCGAATTCTCCCCTCCGGACCCCAGGAAGGTCTTTCTGGAGGGGAAAAATGGCCTTTCTAGCTTCCAGGCACAGCCCAAGTGCAGACCATGGCCCGAGCAGGAGCCCGCAATCCAGCTGGTGGGGGCTCCAGGCGCAGGCCACAGTGGGGACAGGCAGCCTAGGGTCTCAGGACAGCCCAAGACTTCAGTCCCTGGCCAAGGACCTGCAGAGGAAAGACCCCTGTCCCATCCCGTGGACCCTCAAGATGCAGACCATAAGGCCCACAGTGCGGGGAACAACGAGGAGATTCCGGAAGGAGCCAGGCAGCCTGGAAGTGCAGCCTCCGAGCAGGTGGGTGGCCCAGGGCCGCGTGGGCGGGGGGTGCCGTGAGTGGTGGCCGCACTGCCTGGGTCCTTCTTTAATGCAGGGAAGGTAGCCTTAACCCTCACTCTGACAATAATTGGGAGGCGTCCTCCAGCTCCCCCAGCCACACACAGGTGCCACCTGCACACAGCCCAGCCCCACGCGGTCGCGGAAGGAGCATGTCCTACGTCGGTCTTCCTCCCGCCAGCGGGGCCCACAGCCCCAGCTCCCACAGGGGTCGACTCAGGGGCTCGGCTCCCAGTCCTAACACTCAGGGCCTTCCTCTTCTACGTCTTCTGATTGTTTAAATGTTAGAAACCCAAACCGTGGGTTGAGACTGAGATGCCAGGAGCGTCTGTGCCTGCGCAGCCGCTGCTGCGTCCCGGCTGAGGCCGGCCCCGTGCCGCTGCTGGGTGGGGCTGGGATGGCAGGGTGACCAGCGCCCGCCTGGCTTTGCTGACCAGAGGACGGGGGATGTCGTCCTGTGATTTTTATTTTTATTCTTACCCCAATGAGCGTTTGAGGGTGATTTACGTGAAAAATATGGTGACTTTAGAACAAAAGTCCATCTTGGAGTCCCGAGATGCTGAAGGGCCTTCCTCCTCCTGGGCCTGGTGCACCATGTACTCCGTCCACATTCCAGCTCTCCCACGGCCTTCCTTCTTGGTACACCTTCCCACGCACGACACCCACTTTCCAGACGGGTAAACCGAGGCACCCACTGGCAGAGCGGCCCGTCATAGGCGGCGCCCTGAGGGGCAGAGCTACGACCTCAAGCTCCACACAGAGCAAAACTGACCAAAAGCCTAGTATCGTCCTAACCACTAGGATTCCCCGCCCCAAAACCAAGCACACCCTTGTCCCAGGGTCAGGGCCCACCTGGCACAGGCACAGCCTGTCAAGCATCAGGGCTGGTCCAGAGCCAGGGATCCACCATCCTGGGTCCCAAGCTCAGTTCTCCAGCTCCCATGTGTAACCCATACTGTTGGGGGGCCTGGGGCCGCAGAATGCAGGCCACCCACCCAGCCCGGCACAGACAGCCCATGAGCTGGGAAGAGCCGCAGGACAGAAACTGTTGCCTGTCTCAGCCTCCGAGTGCTCGAGGGGCCTTGGAGGGGGTCTCTGGTGAAGACCCTCGTCTCTGGAGCCTTCTGCTAAGGCACGTGCTTCTGATTCGAGAGGGTGAGGGCTTTGGTCCCAGCTCCGTGGGCCTCCAAGTGGAAGACTCCATTCCGGGCTGATGCGTTCTTCTGACTTCAGGACTTGTGTGTGTGAAAATACACATGATATGAATTTTACCACTTTAATCATCTTTTTGGTTCTGTTTGCTTGTTTTGGAGGCTGGCTGGTACAGGGATTGCACCGTGGACCTCAGTGTTATGGGCACCACGCACTGACCCACTGAGCTAGCCGGCCAGCCCCGCACATTAACCGTTTTTAAGTCTAGAGTTTGGTGGTATTTCATGTGCTCACACCGCTGTCAGCCAGCACCACGTCCATCTCCAGAGCCTTCCCATCTTCCCAGACTGAAACTCTGTCCCTGTCCACAGCAAGTCCCCACCCCTCCCGAGCCCCGTGTAGCCAGGACCCCACTTCTGTCCCTGAGCTTGATGCCCCAGGTAGCTCGTGTCAGGGGAGCCCTGCGGTGTTTCCTTTTGTGCCAGCGTGTTTCACTCAGCTCAACGTCTTCCAGGTCCACCCATGCTGTCGTGTGTGTTGGAATTTCCCTCCTTCTTCAGGCTGAGTCCTGCTCCACCATGTGGAGGGACCACCCTGTGTCTCTCCATCGTCAGTCGATGGACATCTAGGTGGTTTGCCCCCTCAGCCACTGTGACTAAGACTGCTGTGAACCTAGGTGTACCAATATCTCTTCAAGACCCTGCTTTCAATTTTGGGGGGTGTGTACCCAGAAGTGGAGTTGGTTTTTCGAGGAGCAGTGCACTGTTTCCTGCAGTGGCTGCACCATCTCACATCCCACCGGCGTGCACGAGGGCTCCAAGTTCTCCATGTCCTCGTCAACACTTGTTTTGATGTCAGGACTTTCCCGGCCCCTTTTGTCAGGCATGCATCGTGGTCGGGGTGAAGTGGTTCTTGTGCTGTCACCATCTGCTGGAAATCCTTCCTGCGGCGTCTGGTGGGGCCACCAGCTGGGTCCTGTCCACACTGAGTTGCTTCTCTCCCCTGCAGTGGGTGTCCCTGCAGGACCTCTTGTCCCAGCTGGGCCGGCCCTTCAGGGAGTACGAGCTGTGGGCCCTGTGCCTCGCCTGCCTGCGTGCCCTGCAGACGCACACCGCACACCCAGGTGACCGATGCAGCCCACCCTGCCCAAGCCCAGGGACTCAGGGCCAGCACGGGTCTGCCAGAGCAGGAGCAGTGTCCACATTGATGGGGGCAGCATCCACACTGGGGACAGTGTCCACACTGGCAAAGGGGGCTCGGCCTGCCTGGGGCACCCTGGGGAGCATCTCTGCACTGGGGGCCAAGGGGCAGATGCTTACAATGCGACTCCTGCATAAAGAGGGGGGAGCCTGTGTACAGGTGTCTCTGACCCACACATCCTGAGGGGGTGATGTGGTGTGGGAAGGTCGGGGAGGGATCTTAGACATTGCGCTGGTTTGTGGCCTCCAAAAGTTCAACCCCGACAGACAGCAGGACCCATGGACGGAACATCTGTGGTATTAAAACATCACGGGCAGGGATGAGGACAATGTCTACAAGGGCGGGGGAGGGGCTGCCTGGCTCTAGCTGCCCACACCTTGTGCCCCAGAGCTGCCCGGCAGCCGGGCCTCAGGCCGGGGCTTGTGACCTGCAGGGCACGGTCGTCACCGCACGCCTCCTCTTTGTTCAGCCCCTTTTCATTCCCAGCTAGCAGCGCCTGATGCAGCCACGTGGTGCCAGCCGCTGCAGCTCTGCCCGGTGGGAGGGAGGGGTGCAGCTCAGGGGCCCCCCAGGCCCTGTCCCCCCCCAGCCACTCTGCCAGGGGCCTCTGTGGTGGGAGGAGGCTGCGCCCCCTGGTGACATGGGGGTCTGTGGGGCAGGCGGCACGTGTCCTGCCTACGTGGACGGTGCCTGCCTGATGGGGACTGGTGGGGGCGCTGCCCATCCTGACTGCGGCTCCACAGGCCCCGAGAGAGCAGGGTGGGCCCGCCTGCCCTGACCCCGCTCTGTTTGCAGCCTGCCTGTGCCTGGACTCTGTGCTGGTGGCTGAGGACGGGGCTGTGCTCTTTGGGCCACCCCCTGCCAACGGTGGGTACTCAGGGTCATCCCCGGGCGGTCCCGGCATGTGTTTGTTGGGCTGAAGGGAAAACTGAGCCGGGTTTTCTCTCTTAGGCTCTTACGACTCGTTCTTCCTGGCTCCCGAAGTGGCAGAGGAAAAGCTGGGGACTGAAAAGGTAACTGGGCCCTTCCCTGTCCTTCCTCACGGCTTCCTGCTCGCCCCTGTCCCCAGCCCTCAGCAGGCCTAGCGTCAGGACTCGGGGAGTCATGGTGGGTCCCCAAATGCAGCTCCACGTCCGGCCCCTCGGCTCCTCCTGGCAGGTGCCTCCCCCCTCCCAGGGCCGCATGGCCGAGGCCCCGGTGGGGGCAGCCTGGGCAGGATCCCGCATGGACAACTCTGAGTCGCCCCTCCTGGCTGACCAGAGCCGAGGGCTGAACTTTCAGGAATATCTGCAAGGCACTTGTTAAACACAGCCAGTATCAAGAATTAAATTACACAAACTGTAATGCAATGAAATTGATTATATTCAAAACCACCATAGAAGTTCCACCCTGGGAAGGTGGAGATGACACGTCCCTGCTCCTCCCGCCGAGCGCAGCTAAACAGCCTGCACTCTGCGCAGAGCGGGCACGAGACGATCGACCTGCACCGGGGAGAGAAGAAGCAACATGGCGGCAAGGGCCCTGGGTTTCTTCTTGCCTCATTATCAAGATCTGGAGCTTAAGAAGCCAGCACTAGGCACAGACAGAAAAAAAGCCTCAACAAAAGCCTGGGCCCTCTAGCCAACGAGCCAGGAAGGAACCGCTAGCAAGACATTTTTAGACATCATCCACCCTACTCCAGCCAAACACCACAGAAAACACCGTGGCCCCACCCAAGCCAGCAGAGACAGATGTGGAACCTGAGCTTAAGCCCGTAAGACTAAAGAGGCTCCCAGCACCTGCCCAGCCAGGCAGCATCAGAGGTTGAGCAGGAGCCAGGACCTTCGTCCCCACCAGCCTGTACTGAGATGTCAGTGGAGACCACGTGGGGCCTTGGACGTCCACCCACCCACCCATAATGGGGCCCGCTCCGGCTGGGTGGTGTCAGAGGAGGTCTCCGGAGCAGCGGTAGTGCGGCAGTGAGCAGCCCCCCAGGACTGCAAGACGAGGCGCTCCCACCCTCCAGCCAGGACTCCCCGCCCACCCAGCAGCAATGAGGGGCCCCCTCCTCGGGAGTCGTGGGGCCAACTGAGCAACCCGGACTCCTGCCCCCACCGGGCAATAAGCAGGCAGTGCCAAGGTGGAGATGACACGTCCCTGCTCCTCCCGCCGAGCGCAGCTAAACAGCCTGCACTCTGCACGGAGCGGGCACGAGACGATCGACCTGCACCGGGGAGAGAAGAAGCAACATGGTGGCAAGGGCCCTGGGTTTCTTCTTGCCTCATT